CTTCTCTAGGTATTCTGCCTCGTAGCTGGTCTCATTACACTGTACCTGCTGGCATGACTGTTATTCAGTGGGTGTCTGACTTCAGTGAACGCATTAAACAACTACAGAATATTTCCCAGGCAGCTGCTTCTGGTGGAGCAAAAGAACTAAAGGTATCGATCTTGTGTTTTATTGCCGTTCTCATTAAAGGCTTTTCTGCAATTCTGAGAAATCAGGGTTACATGAGTCTGTAACTGCTTATATCTAACTGTTAGTGTAAAAAGTATTGAAACGCTTTAGCTAAGGAGCTTATCAGAAATCTTACCTGGACACCCCTTCAAACATGCTTGTTACATTATGGTGTTCCTGAATGACTTCCTGTGTTTAAAAATTGCCATTTTCCAAACCTAGCTACAGATCATGCACACAGCATAGTTGCTACAATGGGAAAAAACAGCTAGCCTATATCTACACTACAGCTGAGATCTACGCTCGGAGATCGATCCACTGGCGGTCGATTTAGCGGGTCTACTGAAGACCCGCCAAATCGACATCCGATCACTCTCCAGTCGACCCCCTGTACTCTACCCCCGACGAGAAGAGTAAGGTAAGTCGACGGGAGAGTTTCTGCTGTCGATCCCCCGCGGTGTAGACCCGTGGTAACTCGACCTAAGCTATGTTGACTCCAGCTACGTTATTCATATAGCTGGAGTTGTGTAGCATAGGTTTACTTACCGCGGTAGTGTAGACATAGCCTTACTTACTGTTCTGTAACTGTTATTCAAAATGTGATGCAGCCATGTATTCCCTGTAGGGGTGTGCGCGTCCAGAGCACCAAAGCAAATAATTTATGTACTGCTAGTCAAGTAGGGGCTGCTCTCATGCCCTGTGATCCTAGCCTCTACTGTGGCTATATAAGGTTGGTGCACCCCGCCCCCCAACCTCCCTCATTTCCTTTGCACCAAATGTCAACAGTACAGACTCCAATGCAGAGGGGGGGCTGGTGAACACACATCCGCATCACATCCAGAAGAATAGAAATAGTTACTTACCTGTACTGTAATTCCTTCTTCAAGTAGATGCAGCCATGAATTTCATGTAGGTGACTCTCAAGCAGTAATTGCAGGAGGTGGGGCTTGGAGTATGTTTAAACAAGGGGTGCAGGATTACCTTCTCAAAGTTTTCATCTGATTTGGATTTAGCATTAGTGGCATAGTGGTTTTAAACATATATGTACACAGGATCCAGTGGCAGCCCTGCAAATTCCTAATATAGGAGCATCACTTGGAAATGCCATCACCGTTGCCCGGGCCCTTTGAGGAGGCGCAGTCTGAGCTGCTTCGTATGCTGTCATGATATATGAAGTTCTCCACCTTGAGATCATCTGTGAAGAGACTGCTTGCCCCTTCATTGGGTTCACATATGAAACAGATGAGACTAAGAAAATAAATCTTTAGTTTTATCTGTAAAAGGCTAAACATCATCTGATATCCAACGTGTGAAGATGCTGCTCATCTGGGGTTGAATTCGGCTCAGGGAAGAACACTGGTAGATATATAATTTGTTTCAAGTGAGAAACCACTTTAGATAAAAATTTATGGTGAGACTGCAGGGTTACTTTGTTTTTAGAAAATTGTATGTCCGGATGCTCCTCCATCAGAGCTTGCAGTTCACATGCTCCTAGCAGATGATGTTGCCACAAGGAAAGGAGCTTTCTGACCAAAAGGGAGAAAGAAAGAGGTCAGGGTGAAGAGGAAGAGATATGGGAGGCCAAACCAATAACCTGAGGACATCAGAGAATTGATATTGTCTCTGCCACATTGGAGCCATGAGAATGAGCTTGGCACGATCCAGTTTCAGCTTGAGAATAACCTCCAGGATAATTGGAAGTAAAAGCATACAGGAGTGCTGATTCCCAGCATCAGGTGAAAAGCATAAATCGGGGGCCTGGACTGAGACCCACGCCCTCAAGAGCAAAATAGATGGCATTTCTTGTCTGCCTTGAAGAACAGGTCAGAATTCCCAAACTGCAAAGAGGTACCGCAGGACACTGGGCTTTTTAGACCACTTGTAATTCAAGGAGAAATTTTCTGCTGAGGGGATCTGCCAGGTAATTCTGGATCCCAGGTAAATGACAGGCCACAGTGATTGGTTTTTTGTTGATGCAACACTGCCAGAGTCTGATCACCTTTTGACACAGCACATTGGAGTATGCATCCCCGTCTGTTCACTTAATACATCATGTCACGTATCAGGGGGTAGCCATGTTAGTCTGTATCCACAAAAACAACAAGGAGTCCGGTGGAACCTTAAAGACTAACAGATTTATTTGGGCAAAAGCTTATGCCCAAATAAATCTGTTAGTCTTTAAGGTTTCACCGGACTCCTTGTTGTTTTTATAATACATCATGGTGCTATTGTTAAGGATGCGCATGCTGAGTCCCTGATGTGTCTGACAAGCACTGTAGATGGCACAAAGTTCCAGGACACTGATTTGCAGAGAAGCTTCCTGTTCCGACCACAGGCCTAGAACTTTCTGTGCACTCAGGTGTGCTCCCCAGCCTATTAAGGAGGCATCAATTACAGTAGTCCTGGTCGACGGGGACCAGGCGAAGGGAACACCCTGGCATACGTTCCCTGAACAGTTGTCCACCATAAGGAGTCCGGATAGGCAGAGGAAGTCAGACCAGTTTGTCCAACAGATGATGGTTCAGATGATAGACCAACGTCAGCCACATTTGAAGAGGACAAAGGCGTAACCTGACATATTGGACTATCTGTGTGTATGCAGCCACATGGCCTAGCAACCTCAGGCATACTTGGGCTGTGGTTGAGGGTTGAGACTGTAGTTCCAGACATAGGTGGTGAATAATGCAAAATCAGTCGGTCGGCAGAAATGCTCTCAAACTCAGTCTAGCAGGGCTGCAACAAACTCCATATTTAGAGCTGGAACCAATGTTGACTTCCCATTGGTTAGGCAGAGACCTAGACTATCGAGTAAGCATAGCGTGAAGTGAACATGAGGACTTCTTCACTGGACTTGCCTGTCTGCACCAATCTTTCTGATACAGGAAGATATGAAATCCACTCTTCCTGAGGTATGCTGTCACCACAATCATGCAGTTGGTTAAAACCCAAGAAGTGGAAGATAGAGCAAAAGGGAACATGGTGTACTGATAGCGTCCCAACACGGGGGCGGCGTCGGTACCAAAGAGGAATGGGGAATTGGCACTGGTGGTATTGAGCGAGACACAATCCTACCCAGTACCAGAAGAGGTGCCAGCACTGAGGTCAAGGGCCATACTGAAGTCAACAACAGGATCTATTGTCAGGGCTATGACTGTATTAAAGGGCGCACGAGCATTGAGGGGGGGTCTTTGGGGCCAGGCCTGGCATCTGCCTCAATTCCACAGTCTGGGACATGGGCAGTGCAAGCTGCACTGCCAATAAACCAACAGTTCTGCAACCCAGCTAGAAGGTGCCATGGGCACCACTGAGAACGAAGCATTAAAAGCTACAGCACCAGAAAAATTCCTGAACTAGTGGAGAGTCGGGGACTGAGAGGCAAAGCGGGTCTGATGCTGCCTGATACGCTACCAGCATGGAGACAGTCTGCTCCAGGCCTGATGTTATTGGTACTGAACTCAGCGAATACCCCATGGCCAGAATCGGAGTCAATGGTACGGGCTCTTGCTGGTCTCAGTGTGGTACCAGGGAGCGGTTAGAACAGTGGTTCTCAAACTTTTGTATTGGTGACCCCTTTCATACAGCAAGCATATGAGTGGGACCCTCCCCCCCATAACTTAAAAATATATATATATATTTTTATATTTAACACTATTATAAATGCTGGAGGCAAAACGGGGCTTGGGGTGGCACTGATAGCTCACAACCCCCCAAGTAATAACCTTGCAACCCCCTGAGGGATCATGACCCCCAGTTTGAGAACCCCTGGGTTAGACAGACCTGCTCCATTCTGTGTGCCAGGAGTATAATGCCAGTTAGCACACTTCTTAAAAGATGAGGAAGTCACACTCCAGGGCTCAGGGAGAAACTCCTCTTCCTCTTGAGTGAAACACCAGAGTCCGAACATGGAGCACAGTTACTTGCTAGTTAAAGGTGACCACCAATCAGACAAGGGCTGAAGTGGGCCTCAAAGCCTGCTCCAGAAAATGTTTCTGCCATAAGTCTCTCGCCACCTGAATCCTTCTTTTGTTTAAAAAAAAAAGACCCAAAAAACCTTACAAATGGAGCATCATTCCATAATGTGTCCCTCACTGAGACACAACACTTTTTGTGTGAGGATGGCCCCTCACATGACAGATGGGGCTTGAACCCTGGTGAGGGCATCACACAGGGCAGCCTGCTATTTGAATAGTACATTGACACTAAACAAAATCTAAGCTACTGTTATCTAGATCAGGGGTTCTCAAACTTCATTGCACTGTGACCCCCTTCTGACAACAAAAATTACTTCACGACCCCAAGAGGGGGGACCGAAGCCTGAGCCCCATTGCCCTGGGCAGGGGGGCCAAAGCTGAAGCTCAAGGGCTTCAGCCCCAGGCAGTGGGGCTCATGCTTCAGCCCAGGGCCCCAGCAAGTCTAAGCCAGCCCTGGTGACCCCATTCAAAGGGGGTCACGACCCATAGTTTGAGAACCGCTGATCTAGAAGAAATAATGCTCGGAAAACTGAGACTAAAATGTGAGGTGAGAACAACACTCAGAGCTCCGATTCAAGCCATGGGCAGTGAGAAGGAACAGAGGAGGGTCGTGGAGGTGTTGCCTTTAAATACCCAGGGGATGAGTCCCGAGGCATGAGCACAGCCTTTATAGGTACTGCTAGGCAAAGTTCTCCGGTTTTGGTGCGCTGGGCACGTGCATGGAATACGCTGCATGTATTCAAAGAAGACCATACCTTTATAGCACAACCTTGTGGGAAATGTTGACACATTCGGAAACTTTGTATTTCTAATTCTACTTGTATATGTGCAATAGAATTGCGTACAAATACTGAACTCTTCTGAAACTGCTAATTCTTTCCTATAAAACAGACTTTAGGATTCATAAAATTGTTTCTACATGTGTATGTTAGTAGGAAACCATCCCTTTGAGGATAAATCTTCATCTGAGGAAACATGCCATACATAGTTTGCAAGATGGTCCATATTTTAGTGCAACTCTTTGTTTAAAGAGATATTGAATGTAGCTAAGTGCCATTACATAGAAACTTCTAAAACATACAATTCTTTTCATAGAATATCAATGTGTGCCTGGGTGGCTTATTCGTACCTGAGGCTTATATTACTGCTACAAGACAATATGTGGCTCAAGCAAACAGCTGGTCCCTGGAAGAACTTTGTCTAGAAGTCAATGTTACAACTACTCAGAATGCAGTCCTGGATGCTTGCAGTTTTGGAGTCACAGGTTAGCTGATGTGCTTTTTACAAGATGGAAGGGAAGGAAATAAGTGCTATTCGCCCTTAACACTGGGAATTTTTCTTCTATAAAAATGCTGGTACGGACCATATCAAATACATAACACCAAGGGGAGTTAACAAGCACAGTGAAAGTTTGATTGCAGTTGCACTAGAAGTAGCATTGGAAGTTAATTTCTATGGGGGATTCTGCATTATTTAAAAACATGTTAATGGAAAACTTTGCTATGCTAGTGCATAGTGGTTGAGAATCGTTATGAATGAACATTGTCAGTAGTAGTGCAATATGGATAAATGCAAATAACTAACATTAGTCTATATGTTAGAGGTAGCGCTCTGGTGGCTTTTTTTATTCCTTTAATAGCCTTCACTGTTGCCTTTTTCTGGAGTATTTTTTCATGTGTATAAATTAGGTCTCCCATTTTAACAGTAGGTCTAAATATCAATGACCACACTTTAGATGGGTGAATCTACCTCTGGACTTGAAAATGGAGTGGAAAAGGAAACTTCCTTTAAATGTACATACACTTCCCTTTCAGGAAAGACCTCAAATGTTCATACTTCTTAACTCTTAGGTTTGAAGCTTCAGGGAGCTACGTGCAGTAACAATAAACTGTCCCTGTCAAATGCTATATCAACGATATTGCCCATAACACAGCTTCGCTGGATCAAGCAGACAAATGCGGATAAAAAGGCTAATGTGGTAAGTAATGTGGAGATAAATGTTTTGTCATTCTGTGACTCCTTTCAGTAGTGACTCATCAGCTTTAAATTCTACTTTCTGGTGCCCTAGAATAAAAATGAGAAAATACCTGCTTCCATTTCATTAGTCTTACATTTTGCAGTACCACAGATGTTCCTTTCCAATGTGAGTTTTCAGCCTGGAGGTTACAATTCCTAGGAGTCTTGCAAACAGATCCAGCATTGCTACCACCCTCTTTCTTTGTGGCTAGCTGGGGGTATCAAGAAATTTAAACTCAGGTAGCATTGGGTCCTTAGAAGTCTGAATAACACCTCAGAAATGTATTATAAAAAGTACACTTTAGCCTGGCAGGTTGGGAGTTCTTTCTTAGGAGTACAGTTGATCTTGGTTGGGGGAGGATGGGCAAAGTTCAGTATGGAACGTCTCTTCATAATTTCCAGTGGTGGGGACCTTTGCTGTCTTCCCTTTGACTTTTATCTTGCATTCAGCTGTCTTATCCACATTTTAATAAATGCCTAACTCCTTTTCCAGGTTACCTTACCAGTTTATCTGAACTTCACCCGTGCTGATCTGATCTTCACTGTTGACTTTGAAATAGCCACCAAGGAAGATCCTCGCAGTTTCTATGAACGTGGTGTTGCAGTCCTCTGCACAGAGTAACAAAAT